TATGGGACTCCATTGTCTGGTTTTCAGCATTCTCTGCGCATTGTGCAAACGCCCTAAAAAGCTTTTTACTGTCCCAAACTCAAGAGTTAGCCTCTAAACATCCGTAAAATATTTTTTTTGTAAACACTTCCTCTTCAGCCTTTCTTTGCGCACAAAAAAATCCATTAGGCATCCGGCTGCGCAGTTGGATTTCGAATTGGCAGATATTTTGGAACAGTTCTCATCTTTCCACATATTTCAGATGGTTGAAACTCACTCCATCTTAACTTATGCTCTTGAACTGCGATGGGTGCAAATAATGCGGGCTTGTGAACAAACCTATTACCGGTTAGACCAAAACTGCCCATTCCGGGGTATGTTTTTATACGAACAAAAGATCGCATCCAGTTTTCCCCCCTAAAAGCTGTTCAAAGAGACATCAATTGATGTACGGTTAATTTATAACAATCTCTGGGAAAATCAAGCATTGAATTGATCGTCAATTAAGCAGTCAGTAGTATTTAGTTACTGGTTTTATATTCCGGGATCCCTATTTTGTTAACATAACAGCTTGAAATTCCGTTTCCTCAAAAAAGCATCAAATTTATTTTGCAGGGAAAAACCATTGCTGAGTCACATACACAGTGGGAAATAACTTTTAAACTAAGGTTTGGAAAAAGTTCATTAGCTATTTTCTCTCGGTCTTTTTCATAAAACCTTTGTTGATAACGATGGAAATAGAAACAATAGATGATTTCAAATCAAAAAGAATATATATATATGTATATGTAGCATTGTTATAAAATTTGAGATTGGTATAAGCAACCAAATCAAAACAATGAGGTTGCCGATGCGCAGGATCAAATGGTCCGTATTTATTCACTGTTTAGATCAGTAAAAGATTTTCTCAAATAGGCATATCTCTCAACTGAACCTGACTCCGGAGCTCATCAAAGTCGCATTCCCGCTTGTAAAAGAGGAAAGCGAAATTCGGCAACAGTTGTGGAGAACGTATGTGTGTTGGAGAGACGTATGCAATAGAAATTCGCGTTATGAAATCCCTACTCCCATTGGCGTATGAATAGCGCAACCAAACTCCGTCGGTCCGTTTGAAATGATTCCAATAATTTAATTCAACTACCTGTCCCAATTGGGTGTAATACAATGAATAATTTAATGGTTCTTACTGTATCAGCTCTAGACTACCTCAAGCATAGCGTTGCTGTTTAATGTTCAATACATAGGAAGGGAATGCACAATCTTTTTTGTTGTCCAGCTTTTCACCCGTAGATTGCGCTGATTTTTCTGATCATACACTTCGCTTATTTCACATAGATAAAACAGATATAGTCACCCAGTTTGCTGATGCATTATTTTTTGTCTGGGAAATAAAAACTGGATACTTTACTCGATCGGAATTTGACTCTGAATAACTCAATCGTATTCTGTTTTAAAAGACCAGACATTATTTTGTAACTCTTCTCCATCTATCACTGGCCCCACCGGAAATCCAGTTATCAGAACTTTCTACTCAAGTGTATTATTGCCATATCTGAAATAATCCAAATGATAATACAATAGCTTTTTCTGCAGACCCTCCTTTCACATCCATTTCTCTTGGGTTTATTTCAACTATAGGTACAGTTTTTTTTTGATCAGGTCGTCGTTGAGCACAATGTCACTTTTTTCCCTTTCAGTTATCCTATTATATACTATCAAACAACTCCTGTGTATGTTCATCGCTGCTAGGTTCAAGTATCCGGATCGTTCATTCCGCCCATAAGTTCTCATTCGGTCGTCAAAAAGTGCAGCGGCACGTGAAGCGGGAGCAAAGAAGCAGCCAAATTATCTCCTGGTCAGCGCGATACGGTACAGTACACCTGTGTTTCGTAAATGCCAGCCAAAGTGGAACCATGATTCCCTGTGGAATCATCGACACTGGTGACTCATTCACACCACGAACGCTATCTCTGAATTTGCTGCTCCTTGTCAGCACGGTTGTCATCGGTTGAGATTTGGTAATAGATTGTTGCATTACTCCATACGACGACCTTCACAGAATTCCCGCATGAATGTGTCCGTTTTTCGTTACCCTCCCTGTCTCCGTTCGGTCATCCTTCACTGGTCCACCAGACCTGTAAACCAGTCGCTAATCATCAGAGTTTGTTGTGCACTCGAAACTGGGGCTAGCGTCACTTGTTTCTGTGCTGGCCGGTGCCCTTACTTGTACCGAACATTGATTCAGATCCTTTAGACGGATGTACGTATGGATACGATGCATGCGTGTGTGTGTGTATTTGGCCTGTTCCCCGTGGTCACCGTTTCGTGAAACCGTGTCTAACTTGAAGCGGTTTGATCGGCTCTTCAAGTCGTTGTTTTGACAAGCACTGTGAACGGATGATTAGGCCCGATAGCAGATTTAACAGATTGCGCGTATGTGTATGCGTGCGTGACCACTGTTTCATGTGGACACGCGCGGGCGTCCATGTGCCCACCCTGTATGCTAACGGTTGATTGTGCTGCTGACAAATGACCTGCTGACCAAATAAACAGCGAAACCAGCACATGATATAGACTGAAAAAATTATGGTAGGGGGAGAGAAAGAGGTCGGGATCACAAGAATTTCTAGTAAGTACATTTGTGAATGTATCGGAATTTTCTGAATCCAAAAATACAAGAACTCAGTTCCTAGAACATCAAATGCAATGTTCATCTCGTTTTGAAGCACACACTCCTGTGGAAGGTATGTGAGAATTGACCCAACGTCAATAACAGTATTTTACCCTTATCTATTGGGCGATACCTGTAGATAATGTCTTACAGGGTAAACCATTGTGTCCCATAAAGTATCTCACGAGAGTGAATCTCATACATTATCTGCGGAGTTCGACCGTGGGTTGAATGCGGGCTTCATTACTGTTCTGATGCAATAAAATAAAAGCAAGCAATTATATATATGTGTATATGAATATTTACATAATTGCTTGCTTTTATTTCATTGCATCAGAACAATAATGTAGCCTGCATTCAACCCACGGCCAAACTCCGCAGATAGATAGACAGATAGATGGATAGATACATAGCTGTAGACAAAAAACCAAGCCAGTTTATCTTTACAGTGAATTCCTCTTCGATCTGTTGTGGGCATACCTCGATGAACAACCCAATTAACAGAAATCTAATCAACAGACCTTGTGGAAGACTACAAAATTTACAAGATTGAACAAGATTAAAACTTACAGAGAAAACGATTTTCCGGACAAAAGAAACAACTATATTATTGGAATCACAATGCGCGCACTTTGTCGCTCTCTCTTTCTCTGATGCGCGTTACCCCGTGCATCCCATTGGGGCGTATGTGAGCGACAAAACAAACAACTATACGGGCACACATTTGGTCCCTCTTCGTGGCGCGCTTCCCGCCTGAAACGAGTGCATTCCATTTACGGGATGGACGAAAAGACAAACAGAATATGAATTCCCCATTCGCCACGCAAGGCTTTT